TTATATATATATATATATATATATATACACACACATGTACGGCACCTAGCAATATGGGGCCCTGATCACTGACTGGGACTTCTGGGAACTAGAGTCCCAGAAGGCCTGCTTGTAATCTGGAAACACTCTAGCAGGCCTGATTCTGATGTCATACTGGTGTAAATTGTCACTCCATTGTTGTCAATGACATTACATTAGTGTAAAAACAGTGTATATGAGACCAGGATAAGACCCATTGCTATCAGCAGGACTGCTTATATGAGTACGGGTTACTTGTAGATCATGATAATCTAGTCCAGTGGTTCTCAAAGCCGGTCCGCCGCTTGTTCAGGGAAAGCCCTTGGCGGGCCGGGCCGGTTTGTTTACCTGCCGTGTTCACAGGTTCGGCCGATTGCGGCTCCCACTGGCCGCAGTTCACTGCTCCGGGCCAATGGGGGCTGCGGGAAGGGCGGCCAGCACATCCCTCGGCCCGCGTCACTTCCCGCAGCCCCCATTGGCCTGGAGCGGCAAACCACAGCCAGTGGGAGCCGCGATCGGCCGAACCTGCGGACGTGGCAGGTAAACAAACCAGCCCGGCCCACCAGGGGCTTTCCCTGAACAAGCGGCGGGCCAGCTTTGAGAACCACTGATCTAGTCTGACCTCCTGTACATCACAGGCCACAGAACCTCTCCCACCCAGTCCTGTAATAGGCCCTTAACCTCTAGCTGAGTTACTGAAGTCCCCAAGTCTTGATTTAAAGACTTCAAGTTACAGAGAACCCACTGTTTATTCTAGTTCAAACCAACAAGTGACCCATGCCCCATGCTGCAGAGGAAGAGAATCCCCTTCCCCTTCCCAGGGTACATAAGGGCTGCAAAATACAGCCTGAAGGGGCTACTTAGGAGAGAGTGGGCAGAGGCTGCTGTGTAGACTAGCACAGGCTTGCAGGGCTGAGGTAAGTGTAGGATGAAATCAGAGCCAAGCTGCTGACTAGCGAGTTCCAAACTTCCAGTCACAAAGGGGATGCTAGGTACCCACAGAGTGAAAAAGCCAGCTCCTCAGCTGGTGTGATTTGCCATAGCTCTGATAACTTCAGTGGAGCGACACCATCTAATCATCTCTTCAGCCCGTCAGTTTCATCCTTTCACAGCTCCCTTAAAATACAGAAAAAGGCCAGTCAATTAGTCATCCACTCTTGGTTGGAGAGATGGCTTATATTAGAGATAGTGTGAATCTGACCAAGTGTAACCTGAGTCACCATGAAGGACAGGACTCCTGGACCACTCTAGCAGAAGGAAATTGTTCCTTGTTATACATGTGTAACAGGACACACCTGAGATTGGCATTAAAGGTACAAATGCCAGAACTGCCCCAGGAATGTTATTTATGGTATCCCACTGTGTTATTTGATTCTGCCCAGCACTAATGAGTTTAACCAGAAATATATACAGAGATACAATTATTGGTCTGTTTAAATGTAATTACCTCGTCATAATTGGCACTGATCAGAGACAAATACTGTATCACCAGCAGTAGTGTTTTAATGCTTTCATGCTGTCATCCTTGCATTTTAAGAGTCAATGAGTTAGCTGCTGTGTTAAATCTTACAAGTAACCAGCACCACTCTCACAGTACAATGGAGAGCAGGAGGTATAAATAAATAAAGTCACTGTATTAGGGCTAATAAAAGGTGTCCCACCATGGCAGTCTTGTCTGGTGTCATTTGGCCTGGCATGTCCCGTATGCAATCTGTAAACATGCCAGACCAGGCCTTCCTGGCTCCGTAAGGCAGCAATTCTGCACAGAAAAGATACAAGGATGCCTGCCTGTCTCTGGTTGAATAGGCTAAACATTTCTTGGGTCATGCAAAAAGAGTGGGATTTTCAAAGCCTGTTCAGTTTAATACGAATGGGATGTGGAATTCCCATAAGTCACTTTGCAAACCTTGACCTAAAATCCCCATAAATACAGGCAGCTTTTGCGTAAGTTGAGATCTGATGATCCAGGCTTAAAGTAAAGCAAAGAGTCACTTTTCCAGGTGGCAAGAAAAGAATTGTTTTTCCTTCTGACGTGTGATTCGTGTTGATGATTTGTCTCAAGAGCTGTTCAAATATCAGTTCTGGTATTCCAAATAGGCTTCCTAAACAAGAGCTAGAGTTGCACAAAAAGAAATCCTGCCTTGTTTATTCAGGAAATTTGTGTGTGTGTGGGTGGGGGGGGACGTATTGTGTGTGTGTGTGTGTGTGTGTGTGTGTGTGTGTATCTTATCTCTGGTGGAACATATCGCCCTACGAAATGTGCTGAACAAAGATAACCACGTCTAAAATATCCTTGGGGATTTATAATGCAAAGTAACCAATCTTGATATTGACACTGAAAAATATCAAGTGGTTTTAAGGCACTGAATGATGAGGCTGTTTGTCATATGCCTCATCATTCAGTCTCCAGAAAATTTACTATAGAAAGGTGGTTTTGGGTATTTGTTTGTTTATTTTTATAATCACAGATCAAATACAAAAAAGCAGTGAGAAAATGTAATCATACCTAATTATCTACCCTTCACACCAACTGGTGTTCTTTTCCTTTATCCCTTTTAATTTTGTGGTGGTAATTATCAAAATGAGCAAACAGAATGGGATGCGATTTACAGGATTTTATGCAAATTCACAGAAAAATCTTCGCAAAAAGCTAAGTGACATAAATGAAAGTTCTGTGAGTGGCTACTGTTGCAGTGGTGCAGGTAACTTGCATGAGACTTTCGGAAGCTCCTGTGTCTTATCCGTAGATACGGGATCCGTTCGGATGCAGAA